GGGTTGACAATCTTTAGCCGAGTATGACTCCGGTCGTTCCGGAGCGAAGATCCAATTGTCGTGGGAACGACAATATCAGTTCTTCACCGTGCTTAATCTGCAACTATGAACAGCGAAGTGGCAAGCAACATTCTTACCCACCTGGAGAAAGAAGTAAATTTAATCCTAAGCGTCTTCAAGCTTGATCAAGCTCAATTTCGTACCCTTCACCACCCAAAATTTTGGGGGTTACATTTAATAATCTATTTAACAACTCAGCTCATGCCACTTCAATCAAACGCAAATTGCGAAGCTGAAACAAGGTCTCCACTTGGGTTAAGGATAAAAAGCTTATTTTCCACATAAAAACGATCGGTTGTTAATTATGATGCTCCAGTGTTGTTAATCTCAGTCAGTGATACCCAATGAAGAAACATTTAGAACTCCCATAATGATGGCCTAATGACTGCTTTAGGCTGCTTACACCCTACTTTGGAACATCATCTACACGAGGAAAGGAAGGTTCTCCCAGTCAAGGAACACGATATCATGTTGACTAAATACCTATTTCTTCCTGAAATGTCATCAAAACTTTAACATCAAACAGTTGGATGCTCCTCCGATGCATGTCAAGAAGCATCATCGCATGAACAAATACACGAGGAGACCAAATGCAGTTATGTGCAGGATCCAATATATCGAATGTGGCAGTTTCGAATGACATTAATGGAAATGCCATCAATTCCGCTGTTGCAGGATACTGCATATAGGTATTTCGTACTTGTAGGTCGCAACTAAGATCAGGATAGAACATATTTAATACCTACTGGTCATGATAAACCGACCCGTCCCCAACGAATGTCCAGTATATGGTTAAGATCCCCATGTTACCCATCACATATTGAACTGCTTGCTTACCTAGCCCTACTTAACTTTTACTAGATTCTTTAACAAACGATCAAGACTAAAATACTTTTGTGATCAAGTAACCAGAAACATGATACTTAAATAATTGCCTTGTCACAGAGGTACGAAGCCCAAATCACTGGAATCCTACTGTTATCCGACTACTGCATATCCATCATACATATGAGTAAATTGACTTAATTCATTGAATTTTAAATAGCAAATGTTTTTATGTACCTATTGGTTATGTACTTTCATTTGCAAATGTAAATTTTAAAAATATAGTAGATAGGTATTCATCGGTTTTTCATTACGATGTCTGGTTGTCAATGCATAGTGATTGACAGTAAAAGGGTCAAAATGTTAAAAATAATTAAACAATTGGCGAATGTTTTTCATTTAATTTCTTTTCATACTTTTGATTATTCATAAGCAACAACAATAATAGCATCATTTGATACAACAATAAATAGTTTTAAGGCCAACAAAGGATGCAATTAACAACAACATAACATTTGATTTTTACATATTTTTATAACAATGTATTCAACAAAATCTAATAATCTAATAATGTAGGAAAATATTATAGCAAAATGAAAATGTTGTTAACAAAAGAAAAACCAGTAGAACCAGAAATGGGAGACAGGTAAAAAAAAGCTGCAACAACAACAAAAACTTGTTGCTAACAAAAAAATGAACACATTACAAACTAATAAAAAATGCACACGCAAGAAAAGTGAAAAGAAAACAAAATAATGAAAGGTAAAACAAGAAAAGTATTTAAAGCGATTAATTACAAAATATAATAATAAAAAAATTAAACTTAAAAATATTCTGATTTTTTTGCAGATTAAAAAAAAAACAACAATAAAAGTAACAACATATACATACATACACATGCTGCATACATACTCAATCGCAAAGGCACAATCAAACAAACAAACCAACAACAACAGCAATAAAATAAGCAAGGAATTAAGAAAAAGAAGTGAAAAAAGTAAAACAAAAAAAACTTACATTGAAGAGGGAAAGAGGTGCAGCAGCGCCCTCGTTTATTCAACTGCTCGTGTATGAAGTGCACTTCGCCTCCCTCACCCAAAACACTTGAGGTTTTGAGGGCGAAGTTCAGTAGAAGAACGAAAAGAAGGAGGAAGCCTGCCTTTTAGTATTATTATCAAAATATATTATTTCTTCCTTAATCAAGCCGTAAAGACGACACAGCCAACGTCAAAGTTTTGAATTTTTCTCCTGTTTTTCTTATACTTTCTTAAAATCCACTAAAATACACGTAGTTTTTCCTTGTAACACACCACTTTTAAACACAATTGTATTTCTTCTTCATAGATTTTTTTCTTTCTTTACTTTTTTGTTTTTTTTTTCTTTTTGTCGTTCGAAACGATGACGATCACGCACGACCAAGTAGTTGTTTTTCACTGTCTTATTTATTTTCGTTTTTTTCTTGTAATATTTGTTGCTTGAAGAGACTTTTTGTCGTCTCCCTATTATGGTACAATTTTGGCCAACAAGCTAAGCTTGTATTTTTCTTGGCTGACCACTATTAATATTTGAAAATTGTCAGCTTCTTCTGCTGGTTTTTCACTTTTTTCTTTTCAATCTTGAATTTTTTACTTGAGGTGGTTTGGCCAGCCAGTCAGCCCAGCACTGCTGCTTCTTGCTTTTACACTCACTACTCACTCAACAAAATACACCATAAAAAATAAAATACAACCAACCAACGAACCCAAATCGCTCACTACTACACACTACAATTCTGTTTTGGGCAAAGATTTTTTCTTCTTTTTTCTTTTGATTTTAAAACACTTTTAATTGCATTATTACGTAATGCATTTTATGCACAAACATTTTCCATAAGTTTTTCTTAATTTTCTTCACAATTTTATGCAAAAATATTATAATTATTGTATAGATTTTAACAAAATTGTTGCAATGAAAAATTCTCTTGTTTCGTGATATTGTAAACTATTGACATAAAATGCACAAGAGAAAATGGCGGCGTACATGTTTTCGTTCAGTTTATTTTCGAGTTCATTGTGTAAAATTCTTCGTTCTGTTTCGAGTTGTTTTCGTTAAAGTGAGTTGCCAATGCTAGATATTTTCGAAAATGTGGCAGCATTTACAAATGCAACACTGTAAGTATAATATAGTTGGCAGCACAAGTAATAATGTTTATCGATTTTGTTGAAATATAACATTTTTGTTTAAAATCACCTTACATTTTCAAAATATAGAAGAAAAGTCAATATAAATTATAAATATCTTACATTTTATTGTTATATTTTGCTGTAGTAAATATATACAACCTGTTTATGTCTGCCATTTAACAAAATCGCTTATTTACATGACATATTAAAATCTCTAATATTATTAACATATCATCAACACTTATTTTTGACACACGTTTTATTATTTTTAATTTTCTTAAGAATCTTTAAACAAAAATTTAAACAAATCTAAAATGTCTTTAAAATTATTAAAACAAAGTGTCGATATAATTGAAGAAGATCTTAAACAAACAAAGACTAAAAAAGGTATAAATACATTTTAACACGCAAATCAAATATTTGATAAACAAATTCATTTTTAAAGGTAAACAAACATCAAATACTAACAACAAAAAGCCAAAAACCTTAAACAATACCATTTCGGAGGAACATTTCCCCAAGAAGCACAAAAAGAACTTACAAGATGTCAAACACGAACTAAAGTCTTCCAATAAAAAAGCAGAGGAAAATATTAAAAGACTTTTGGCGTTGTCTATGAATACGGTTAAAGTTAAAGATGCAGAAAAGGTAATGAATGATTCGCCTAACTAGATGTTAATATTTAATTATACCTATTTTATTAATATTAATTTTTGTTCTCTAGATTGTCCAGCGAGCTCATAAAGGACGTTATGTAGAAAAAATTATACCTGAAGTTGAGCAGGAGTCTATATTCACCGAAGAAGACTTCCGTAAATTCGAAGAAGAATATTTTAATTCATAGTTTTTTAAATTAATTTATTAGATTTTAGTGCTGTGTTTGTGTTTCTATATTGTACAAATATATTTTTCTATTAGATAGTTAAAAAGGATAACTTATAAAAACCAGTGCTTACTTATTTTTGACAAACATGGGAGTTCAAATAATATTTGTTCTACCTCTAACCACGGTAACAGATATTTTGAGTCTGTTTAAGAATCTCCTTCGAGACTAAGGATAAAGCTACAGGGTTTGGTATTTAAAATGGGCAAGTGATCAGCAGGAAAAAAACTCTCATAAACTTTAAAATAACAGTAAAGTTGTGAAATAAACCAGTTTCGTAAACATTGAAATCTATTGAAACCAATTGAAGATCGTTCCATAATTGATCCTACCTCGATATAAGAATCCCGCTTAAAAATACCAAAAATATTTTTGTTCGGAGGAGTCCAATTTACATTAGAATCAGCAATAAAATCGATTCTGAATTTTGGTTAGTTAGGGCCGTTTGCGTTTCAGGTGACGATAAGTATGTATGTATAAGGTCCCCTCAGAAAATTACTTTTACGCCCAATGTGAAATGAACAAGTTTTATGGGATTAAAAATCTTTTAGGTAAATTTTCTATAATTGACCCTACTCTGCCAAAATGTCGGTGAAAGCCAATTTCAGAAATATACATTCCATTGTAATATGGAAAAATCTTTAACAATAAACAATATATTTTTACTTCAATATAATATCTTCTGATATATGACTATAATTATATGAGCTGATTTTTCAAACCGGAGTATGCCACTAGATTCTACTACCCATATAGGCGTTTTTTTACTTACAGTGCTACATCATTCAAAAACTGTCACACTTCAATATATGGCAACACTACATACATCCTGTGTAGATGAGAGAAACCGTTAAGTGTAGAAATTCTCTGTTTACATAAAAAAATAAATATAAACAAAAGTCAACCGGCTAATTGTATGACACTCTTTCAATAGTGGCCATCGTATTCACGTGGTCTCCACAGCATTTACAAAAGGACTTGCGCACCCTGCAAAGTGCCACAAACAACAACCACCACCTTAAAAACACTAAAAGTAGAACTCTGACTTTTTAAATAGATTCCAAGGGTCAGTCAGTCAGTCTTTAAAACAAAGTCGGTAATAGTTGAAATTGCGGTCGATGGCGAATTACCACGGAAGTGTATAAAAAACAAGAACAACAATTTTCCATTAATTTTATTTGTCAACAAATACAATTTTTTAAATTGTTTGCAACAAAATTAACATAAATATAAAATTAGGAAAATTTAGGTAATTGGACAAACGAAGTGTAAATAGAATTTCTATAAATAAATAACGAAAAAACTGAATAGACAAATTTTAATTGAGTGTAAATGAAAAGAGGGTGGTTGGTATGGGTGGGTGGGTGAAGACTTTTATAATGTGTAATTAAAGTAAAATTTTATCGATTTTTTTCAATATATTAGTTGCAAGTACATATTTGCTATGCCATTTCTTTTTGTTTTCAACAAATAGCAATTAAATGTTATTGAAAGTGAAACTTAAATAATTAAAAAATGCTGGGTTTTACACAGACATATTAAAATTAAACTAATCGATTTGATAGAAAAACAATTGTTAAGTAAAACTTGTTTCATCATTTTTACAAAATATGCGTGTTATAACAAAGTTAACTGTCGCTGATTGCTTGAAATAAATTTAAATATAGCTTTTTTATATAAAGCCATAGTAATAAATTATTTAAATTTCCTTAATTGGTTCAAATAAAGTAAATACGTGTATTTATTTATTTAGTTTTATTTTAATGGTAATGCGCATGTGTATAAAAACAAAAATTTGTTAATAAATCTTCGTTGATTTGTAAGTCAAGAAAAAAAATCAATTTACGAATCCTTGCAAATTTCTAACATCGTTCAAGGATAATAGAACTAGTATAATATTTATTACAAAAAAAAAACTAATAATAAAAACAAAATATTTTTAAAAAATAAACTAACAAATGAAAACAATACAACATCTTCAACAGTCTAAAGACAATAGAAAATTTTGATTAAAATCCAAGAGTTCTTAAATTAATTAATACAAATTTTTTTCATGACACCACAAAATATGTAGATTTTAATGAATATTATAAAATCTCTATAATTAATGACATCATATAATACTCATACTAAAAAATAAAAAATATTTTTCATTTGAGTTACATCTAGAGAAAAACTGTTAACTGTTGCCTTTAAAAATTGTGAAATTTATAATAATGGTTCCACCTAAAAGTCGTAATGTACTTTTTTATAGAAAAATTTAATATACTTTTAAAGTCTATTTAAGGTATTGTAAGTTTTTACATATATTTTTTAGGAAATATACGTTAATAAAGTATTTAAATTACATTTATATTTAACCGTGTTGATAATTAACAAAAATTTATTTAATTGTATTAATATTAAAATATGCAACAATTACATTTTTAGGCAAAAGTTAAACAAGATTGCACAGGCCAACAAAATTTGAAAAAAGTCAAAACCCTGAGATCAAAGTGTTTATTTCTAATTGATTGAGCTAGGCTAAACACGCATCTGTATCAGAATCGCATCAGAATTTATCATATTAAGTTTTTAAGCTATAGTGTAGCAAAGTTTGAAACCCGTTTTTGTCCATATTTTTGAGAAGAAGATACCTTTATTGAGGCGAAGATACCTTTATTTATAAAATCTATTATGTAATCTAAAAGTCCAATATGTCGACTTTAAAATAAGGATTTAACCTCTACTATATCTTCTTATTTTTGAGAGATATCTTAACTCAAATTTTGTAAAACGTATGTAAATAAAAAGGAGTCTTAGCGCTGTTATAACATCTCAAATATGGCCAAAAAAAGTTTTTTTTTTAATTTATGAACAATATCTCGATAACCGGATGTATTCTGAGGTCAGATTTGGTTACAGAACCGAAAGTATACTTTGTTCTCTGTATTCAAAATTAGTTGGCCTGTGCTAGCTTCAAATCCATTTCTGTGTGTATTAATATTTTTATGAAATATCAGCCTAAAAGTATACTTTATATTTATAATAATTCTATTTAAATATAATGGGGTTCAGCTTATAATATTTTTTCTTGGAAGAAATATATCTTGTTGCCACTGCCATTTTTGTAATCAAATTTAAAATTTAATCGATATTCCAAAAAAGCGGTAATGGTAATTTTGCTTATCTGGTAAAGGTATCTTAACGGTAACAGTAGTAAGCTGAAGAAGCGTTTTACAAGTTATGAAATTAGTCTTAACAAAACACAGTGGGCAGAATCATATTATTGGAATAATTGTTTAGTGATAATGGTATTTTTGTTTACTTCGGTAATGGTAATGTTATTTTGGCATCTTTTGGTAACAGCATTTAAGCGGTAACGGCGGTAGAGCTGAAAAAGGTATATTAGAGGTAGCTAACGTAAGGCAACTTTACACTAATCGCACAAGTAATATAATTTGCCAAAATTTAGTACCCAGAGGCATGTTAACTTGTTGAACCGCCTTCAGCTTGGTGTTATTGCTTTATTCTCTCGCGACTATAAAGTGATGGTTTCATTCGATTTCTCGGCTATTCATTTGACTTGCGGTTTGATCAGAGAATACTACCTATTTGGTATTAAGGGAATCGGTGTCTTGCAGGGCAAAGTTTCGGACTTTGTCTTGTGCTGCTTTTGGGATAAGTCATTTCGAGGAAAGACAAGACTAAATATTAGGAATGATTTGATTTTTATAATCAGTACCACGAGAACCGATGGAAATCGGAGAATGTTGGTTTAAAGACTGATTATGTTTCGGCGTTATTGCCTAGACAGCAGATACCACCGTGGGACAAAATATTAGGAATGATTTGATATCAAATGAGTGAGATACAGGAAGAGTTAGGGTATACAGACCTCGCCACATCTGTATAATCATTTGAAAGTGTTGTATTATATGGTGATAGATCTACGGTATATGATTCGTTTGTAATATCTGTATGTTCAGGTCCGTTCATGTCAGACTTACTACTGTGTGTTCTTTGTAAGTATAAACTTGTCTTTAATATATTGGACGGATTCTTACTTCGGTCTACCGTTTACATTTCTAGTTGCTGTTTGTTAATTAACAGAGGCCATTCTACTATATGCGAGGTTGTTAAACGCATCTTAAAGGTGTTTGTACATGCCCCGTAGGGAATAGAAAGGGGCGGTTGCATACCCTTATCTCATTCAATTACAAGAAGAACTGAAGATATGCAATTTATCAAAGCAAGCTAAATATATATATATATATATATATATATATATATATATATATACACTATCGGACAAAATAAAGTGCAAAAGTACTCATGCTATATTCTTTCATCGAAAAATCGGTTAAATGATTATTGAATATGGAAATTTTTTTCAAAATCATTTAGTTAATATACAACGCTACAATAATAACAATAAAACTAAATTATTGTAATTACAATTTTTCTGTAAAACTTCTAAAATAAAAGTAAATTCAATTTTTTTGTCGGACAAAATAAAGTGTAAATTTTATATATCATTATTTAAATTTCTTGTATATCAAAATTTTTTATCTATTTTGGTTCTGCTTTTAATATCTGGATCTACTTAAGCCATTTTGGTAATTTTGTTCACCATTGTTATTCGCAATCGCCTTTCCTTCCCCTTGCTTTTCGCATATGATTATTTTCAAAAGAAATCCGTTTTTGATCACTATTTCATCGGAATTTTTTGATCAATTGTGGTCCAAAATTAATCTATTGGATTTAGGGCGGTGCTCTGAGCAACTTATTTAAATTTTTAGTGTTCTTTCCTACAGTAATGCTATTTTTTAACTTTATCAAGCGCTTAAGCTTATTATCTTTCCGAGATATAAAGTTGCCCAAGTCCATTTCGAAGGCACTGATCTTAAGATTTGACTGTAATATGCTCACATAGTGTTCACTAGAGCTTTTTGAATAAATTTCCCCTAGGTTCCCCACAGCTAACATTAAAAATTAAACACATACGAAGAATCAACTGACCCATACGTTCAATCTTTCACCAACACATTTAAAAGCATGGAAATTTTTTTTCGGTTTTAGTATTTAATTTTGTATTTTTTACCTCAAATTTGCGTAGATAGTCAGATGAGTCCTAATTTGTACCGAAAATTTTAAAATGTCGACAATGAGTGTGAGTTAAACCCTTCAATATACAATATTTTAAAAACAATACCCCAGGTTTTAAACATTATGGTGGGGGGCTATCGGTATTGGTACATTATTCAACCTTAGGAGCGGGAATCTTAGTGAAGATGGAGTAAACAATAACAATTGAGCAATTCACGAGCGTATTTAATAATTTTTTTTTTAATAAATGCCGTAAAAATGGATTTGGGACACTTAATGCCTCAACAGATTTATGACTTCAAACACACGACAAAGGTTAAAAACATTGCTGTAAGAAAAAAAACACTGAAAAATTGGAATGACCTACTCAGACCATCGCCCTAAATCCAATAGATTAATTTTTGACCACAATTGATAAAAAAATTCTGCTGAAATAGCGAACAAAAACGGATTTCATTTGAAAATAATCGTATGGGGGAAAGCAAGGGGAAGGGAAGGCGATTGCGAATAATAATGGTAAAAAAATTAAAAAAATGGCTTAAGTAGATCCAGATATTCAAATCAGAACCAAAATAGATAAAAAATTGTGATATACAAAAAATTTAAATAATGATATATAAAATTTACACTTTATTTTGTTCGACAAAAAGGTGAATTTACTTTAATTTTGGATGTTATACAGAAAAATTTTAGGTGGAATGATTTTGTTTTATTGTAATTTTTGTAGCATTGGATATATATATAGATATATATATATATATATATATATATATATATATATATATATATATATATATATATATATATATATATATATATATATTTAAAATTTCATATTAATAATTGTGACCAACTCATTATTTCCATTACAACTGTTCAAGCTACTTTAACATGTTTCGAAGAATATTTATTGAAGTAGTCTGTCTCCATGGTAACTTCATGAGACAAGTTCTATATAATGCAATATACATTAATGTTTAATTAATTGTTGATAAAAATAATTTGTTTGTTAATTTGGTCACAATTAATTAACTCATTAGATATTAAAAGATTTTTTCCACAAAACCTTAATATGAAAGCATGAATTGCATGGCAACTCTAAATGTGAAAGAGTAGAAATTCGTAAACAAATTAAAATAAATTTTAAATATCGATGACCAAACTACTATTTACCTTTTACGAATCAATACTTTTATTATCATTATAGTTATCTACCATCATAATGTTTGAAATTGCATATATATATATATCGTCACCTGAATTGCAAAAGAGCGATACAACACGTTTTAAAATTTTACAAAAATTACGTTATCTTACGTGTATTATATCTCAACATTGTAATTAAACATGTTTCTTTTTAATTCCTATTTCCAAAAAAACTGGAAATTTAGGTCTTAATACCGAAATTTGAAATATTCATATACGATTTAATAGCAGAATTTTTAAGATAAGATTAAATTTATTTTTAGATTAACTAATCTGATTATTAATTGGCATTTGATTGCCATCTCAAAAATCCGCTCTTAATGTAATAAAAACATCCTGATGAATACGTATGTATGTATGTACTCTTATGAATCATCCAAGAATGTTATAAAATCTTGATGTAATGAGAAAGTGAGGCATTAACAAGTAAGGGAGGATTTCTTACTATTCAGTTAAACTAGGCTTAATTTGCTGTTATATTAAACACGAAACAAATTTAGGCCGACTTTAACTGATGATTGTGTTTTTTTTTTTCAATTAAGAGAAGTTAACTTTGTTAGTATTGCTAATTTTTCAGTCAAAAACATAAACAATGAACTGCTGTTATTTTTGCAAATATTACTTTTGTAATATGAAAAATGTTAGAAAATATTAAAATAAACATTTAAAACAATAATAAAGTAATATATAAGTACATATGTTAATATATATAGATATTTGTAAATGTTTTTAAGGAAATGAATTACTCGTTTACTTAAATGACAATTTATTCTGAAATAAACCAATAATGATGTACCAATCTTTGTTATTTTCAAATAATCTTCATTCAATAGAATATAATGATAGGCGTTTTTGTAAAATAATATGTATTCAGATTCTAAGGTGGTGACACAGGTCACCTTTCATGGTATCTGTTTTCAGGGAATATGTGCATCATATTATTGTATCATTTTACAGAAATACAATCAGACAATTTTAAAAACACACCCTTAGTTTAAAGAAATATGCAAATTTATATAGAAATATTTTTTTACAAGTATATTTGTAAGTATTTATTTAATTTTATATAAATAAATTCGTGTCCTAACAGGAGTAGATATGTAAAATACTTTACACACTTGACTACTAACATTGCATATTTATATTTCGCGAACAAATTGTATGACTTGCGAAAATTACAATTCTACTATATGATGGCACCACAGCTCAAACCCACCGACCACTGGGGAATATTATGTACTCGTTTTGTTATTCCTCTTTACAAACCCCCCTGAGAAATAAAATTGACTCATTTTATGAAAAAAAAAAAAATAACAACAACTGAAAAAGAAGAAAGCAACACCAAACAAAAGTACACGAGTATAAAATGGTAAAGTGAAAGAATTTCATTTGTTTGCGATTTTACCAGCTCGCCAATGCTTAAAAGTTGTTTATTAGGTACTGACACGGCACAAATAAATATACAAACGAAATTGTTTGTTAAAAAAACACATTATGAGTTTGTTCAAAAAGGATCTCAGACTCGTACTCCTTTTAATGCAGTTCAACTGCCAAAGGTAAAAAAACGGGTGAAAAAATATTACAATAATTTCCTTATTTATGTGGAGAATGACAGAATATTAAAGGAATTTTATGTTATAATTAGTTATAAAGATATTTTATTCAAATTTCTTGCATGTTTCAAATAAAAACTTTCTTTGCCTTTAGATATATGTATGTACATACTTACGCCATATGCTTACAAAGAAGGAGTTCAATAATGTTTCTTTCTAAATTGAAAATGCATCGTAACTTATTTGGGATTTTACTTGGCCTATTATCGTTATATTAACACCATAATATTTTGCATAGCTTTTTTTAATTGGACCAGCACTTAGGGGATGACCCCTACTTATGGAACTAGGAAAATAGGTTATGGGAAGGAGGATAGTGGGAGTGGTGTTTGTGGACATTTGATTTAAATCCTCATACTTCGAAAGTGGCAGGAAATTCTTCTGCAGGAAGTTTATTCCACATACGAACAGTGCGGCTGAAGAATGAATTTTCCCTGCAGTGTGTTGTGCGGTCCACTGGTCAATCTACCACAAATGGGTGTGAAGTATGTCTTACACCGTTTCAAAAAATCGAGACACTTGAATGCTTCTTTCGACACTTGAAAAATGTATTTAGTCCAGCGGACATCGCACTGTATTTTCGTGCCCAGAACATCAAGAGTTTCCGATTTCTTAATATTTACACCACACATATATATAGATGGAACACCAAAATCTGCCAAGCGTTTGTGTTAAAAAACATCATTAAGTCCTGCGGGTGTCAAAATCGACTCTGTTAACACGACCCCATTCAGAGATTTTTATTAAGTCGTGATTAAGCGATTCATTTATATTGCGCCTCATTGCCCCAATCTCTATAATTGAATGAATAACAATGGCAAATATTGCTATTATCAGCAAAAGAGTAGATAGAGTTGGTCATTTATGAAGATAAGAAATAGTATAGGGGAAAGAACGGAGCCTTGCGGTACCCCTGAATTAATCTTGAATTCGTTTGATGAAATCCCATCTATAACAACACTGAGAAAGCTCGAAATAAATCGGGAGAAGTTGCGACACCAAATGCAATTAGTTTTGATACAAGTGCACCATGCCACACTCTATCAAACGCCTTGGAAATATCTCGAGCCACCACTTTACTTTCGCCAAAAGGGTGCATGCAATGACACGATTTCTCCGAAAGGAAGACTAGTATGTCTCCCGTAGAACGACCTATACAAAAGCTATACTGGCGGTCGTTAAATAAATTGTTGGTCTCTAAATACTTAACAAGATGGAAATTTACCATACTTTCCATAACTTTAGAAAGTGCTAAACAAATTGCTGTTGGGCGGTAATTATCAGGGTTATTAGCCTCTTCCTTTTTAGGAATTGGCGTTACATTAGCAATCTTCCAGCATGCAGGAAATTTACCGGCATAGATATAAGATATTCCATTCAGAAGATTCCATTTCGTAGTAGTTTCGTCTATACGCATATCCAAAATGAGATAATGTCAGAAAGACAACCCTGCCTTGACAAATTATTCCTACATTGTCTGACCAACAAAAATATTATGGTATAAGATTTAATGAATGAAGCGCTGCCTGGATCTTCCAATATTGTCTTGAATATAAAAGATTCATACGAAAGACGATTCTTAACACAAGTTCTTCGCAGAAGACACCAAAAACAATGGGCAGTTCACTTTTAACCACCCGTATAAATCTTGGTGATATATTCATTCACTATGTTACCACTGCATCGCTTCTAGAAGCCACCTTCAATCAAAGTCCTTATATGGACTAGTATAGTCACTCTGTATTGGGTGTTCATTTTCCATGCTATTTTAGAATCCATGAATTTCGCAAGTTTTTTAATAGCGGCAGTTTGAAGCTTGGACTCCTGGTCTTTGCTGTGTGCAGTTCTGTTTTGTTTAGATTTTTCTCCTAGATCACTTTCTATGATCCAGTTGTTGAGTTACAAGAGCAAATTGAACAGGCTTTATTAATCACATCATATCAACCATCGTCTTTTTTTGATTTTTATAGAATGAACTCTTGTTGGATTACAGAAGTAGTAACGTTAATAAAGGCACCCTCTGTTACTGGAAAGGCTCCCATAGTATATTATTTTAGATTGCAATGATCTTTCTAAGTATATCTCTTACCAACTCCTGTATGTGAGTCGGTTAAAATTGAAATACAGAATGTCTAATTAGACGGAAATCTTTCGCAATCTCATGTCCTTTGTTGCCGATTTTAGGAATAGAAACTACCCTAATATTTCTGTTTGTCATTTCTACCTCAATATTTCTCGTGGGATGCTAAACTTTTATCCTTTTTGTAGCACCTATTAACAACAATTCATTCATTTAATACACTGACATAAAAAAATTCAAAATGAAGTACAAAATACCTGCAGCAATATGCTTGCTATGGAAAAAATCTTACACTGCAATAACAGAATTAGACTGAAATTATTTTAAGCCTTAAAAACCACAAGAATATAATTACAAAATGAAATTCGCTGTTAAGCAAAACTGAAAGCCACAAAACCTTTTTAAATAATACTTTCAAACAGAACTCGCGGCATAATGGAATATTAAACATACTTCAAGGGAAAAAAATCAAAATAAAACATTTAATATTTTATTAATAATGACATTAAACTGCGTTCACTTTAAACTAAAGCTTATATGTTTCAAGTTAATCAAAAAGGCCTTTTTTGTCAAATATTTCATAAAGTATTAACACACCTTTAGTTTTTTATTGGGGCAATGGGTATTTCGGAGTTGTTAGATGCAAACTTTAAAATGCATCAAACATAATGACCAGCTTATGAATGAACCTATGTTATCATTAATTATAATGTAGAGTACATAACGCACCAACAGACGGATGTAAATAAGCTTTGATGTACTTTCAACAGAAATAAATGAAACAATTTTGAGTGCAATCTGGTGCTGGATTAAATATAAACATATTTTTTTGCGTTAATAAAGATGAATAAACAAATAGAGGAAAATGCTGAATTTTCCCCAGGCTCTTAGTTAGGCAATGATATAATTTTATTAATATTAATTAAATACTTCAATTTAAATTATACTTAAATTAATTTGTTTTTACAGACTTTGACCGTTATGCGAGTTCCCGATATATCTGCCACAGCTGGTTACGCTGCAACTGTATTCAATCCACTTAATAACCAACGAGAAAATCACAGCACAAATTCCCTGCTTTTAACAGCACTTGGATCAGGGCACAATAAATTCGACAATACACCGATAACGGGAACACCCAATAATTTTTTTAGGGAGACAACATCAACCACTCCAACTGCTAATACAGTAGTTGCCTCAGCAGCAAACGCAACGACTGCAGCAACGACAACGATAACAAATTATGCCTCTTCGGCAGATGAATTTATACAGAAAGCTTTGAATTCCACACCTACAGAATATTCTCCACCAATATTGAATCATTTAAATGATAATAACATTGTACCACACTACTGTTGCGGAGCACTACCCAAAACACTTGTAAATCCATTCGAAGATTGTTACGACAAAGACGCCAACAATACTGGAAACACTTACAAAAGTTTCAAGGAAATATTTAACACGAATAAAAGCTTTTATGAGGATTGTGTAAGAGATTTTGAAAATATTAATGTTAGTTCCAATGAATCTCTTAACAACTTAATAAAACACTAAAAGATTTTCATTTTATTTTCATTTAATTTTCTTTCATAGTTATTAAAAAATGGTTCGGATGATCATGTGACTGATACCGATTTGGATCCCATTGAATTAATTAATTCGCGCGAAACTCCTAATAGCAATAACGATTGTGGTGGAAAACACATTTGTACGAATCCATTTGATGTGGCTTTTAGTCAATACAATGCTGCACATTGTAAAAAGATTGAAAAGGAGAATTTAGAACAAATTGATAATAAATCAGAAGATCTATTAGAAACGGAAAAAGTTGAGAGTGGTTTTGAACCAGACGATAATGATTATGATGATCATTCCATGATCGATTTGTGCAGTGATACTAAATCAATTTATGACAGTGATGAAAAAGGTGGGTATTGATAAGGAATCATTCATTAATTTCTATTTGAGCTTGTTAGAAGTAATGTTTGCTCTAACCTAAAATGTCATCATCTTCATAACTACAGTCCGAACATACGAACTGAACCCTAACCTAGGGACCTAAACTTAATATCCGATATAATTCCAAACATTTTTAGTTTAAAAGTTTCGAAATTATTTCATTTCATAATTTTAAACTATTTTTCCTTACAAATTCTAAAATATAACTGATTCTATAGTCCAGACTATAGACTATTCTATAGTCCAGACTATACACTATGCTATAGTCCAGATTATAGACTATTCTATAGTCCAGACTATAGACTATTCTATAGTCCAGACTATATAGACTATTCTATAGACCATTCTATAGTCCAGACTATATAGACTATTATACATATAATCCAGACTATATAGACTATCCTATAGTCCAGACTATATAGACTGTTCTATAGTCCAGACTATAGAATATTCTATAGACCAGACTGTAGACTATTCTATAGTCCAGACTATAGACTATTCTATAGTCCAGATTATGGATTATTCTATAGACCAGATTATGGACTATTCTATAATCCAGACTATAAACTATTCTATAATCCAGACCTTAGATTATTTTATAGTCCAGACTATATTATTATTTCATTTTATATTAAAAGTATCGAACAATTATTCGGCTAATATCCGCTTACTGGTTAAAATCCTAATTAAGGTCCAGTTCCTAAGTTATTCGAAACCAAATTTAATAATTTCTAGGCTTTTGAAGTAACCATTCAACTGAAAGTTCTAACTGATTCATCAGTTTTCTTAATCAGTGTTCAAAAGAATATGACATTCTATATAGACTTAAACTAAATACCCACAAAAAATAACTTAATTTCAGAGGATGACTTTTTGACATCAGCTTCATCATCTAGCGGCTCCTTACACACACCAAAGCACTCATTTTTTCCCAGAGGTATAATTAATCCTAACTATCCGGGTTTTCAACATTTAGCTCACACCCTCTCAGAACATTTTATTACTAGTTCACCCTCCGATTCCTACGAGAGCGATATGTCCGAGTATGAAATGGAACTAAGCGCCGACAGTTTCGAAAGTCTCAACGAGGAAAAATCCCAAATACAATTGAACACCTACAACAATAACACTCCCGAAAAGATTATGAATCCTAGTGAACAGCGGAATAATTTGGATTTCATAGAAAATGCCGAGGCAGAAGATGATATTTATCTAATGGAATGCAGTAAGGGTCATAGACCCTCTCTCGATGAAGATACCAATCGCAATAGTAACCCTAACCATCAGCCATTTAATATTGCCGATTTGCAAGATCATTTGAAAAATACGCTCACTCTGTTGGAGAAGCAAGAGTGTGCCCTACAAAACCACAATAATATGCCACCAGTTTCTATTACACCGGATATTTTAATTAAGAATTATAATCTGCACGTGCAACCGTTAAATAAAAAAGAAAATCGACCTGATCTACTAAGAGGCGTAAGTCCTCATCTTGTTCCCGAAAGAAAATATCATGAAGCTAAGAATGCAAATTTGAAATTGGATAAGCCACACGGGGTTAATTGTTATGGCATGCGTAGTAATGAAATTAAAGATGAAATGTCTTTCGGTTTAACACCCGTCGATATAATTGGCGATTTTGGTCAAGAAGTGGAAAGAGAATTTGGTTTATTGGTTAGTGGCTATAGACGTTTAGTTGATACTCAAGATATGATGCCATTACCTATGGAGGAAGGAGAAAAGGTAAACAAAATTAAGGTAAATGACATACAAAATGTACTGTTTTTTACTTTCCTTTCTGTCCTAGATTTCCGATGCAGTTTTATCGGTAGCCAAAGATCAAATCGATACTAATAAATATTTGGAGGCCTTGAATAAACAACAAACCGAGAATGAAGATGCCGATAAAATATCCCCTGAGTTAGCTGATGATAATGCTGTTGATTTACCATTGTCCGCAAATAATTCTCCTCAAAACACCCTTACTAAAGTTCATATGCAAACCAATTCAAGTCCTCAACCATCTCCCAAGTCCGATACACGCTCGAAACCCAAATATCAAAAATCTTCCTATGACGACCGACAACTACCCCCCGTAGCAATTGAGTACAAACGTTGCCAACAGACATCTCGCTCTAATAAGAAATCCCAATCAAATCACATTGAGAAATCGGCTAAAGTAGTTAAAAGTAACCATTCGAAACCGAGTATTGCAAGTCGCTTATTTCATCCTAAACGTAATAGTAATAAATCCGATGGTATTTCGAGTCGAAAGCGGGAGGAAGCTGAATTGAATCAATATCAACAATTGATCAGTGACAAAGAACAAATTCTAAGCAATAGTAAATATGCAAAATTATCATCATGGGCTCAGTATCTTAAGAATTCGGTTAATGAACGTGGTTCACGCGGTAGTACAGATTTAATATCACCAAGTGCATTGGGTAAGTACGAAATGGAACTGGGTTTATTGTGAAATATTGAAGCTAAACAATTTGTATGTATGTTTTCATATAGAACTCTTTGACGCTTATAAAATTGGCACGGAAGTTGACATGGAACAATTGCAGCAACATTTAAAAATGGCCAAGGAAATTGAAAAGAAGGTAAGGAAGATATTGAAACTAAGATAATATTCATACTTGATTGAATTAGAAAATCATTTTAAAAATTAATAATGTCAGAATTCGAGATTTTTAAACTTAAGATTCCAATATTTCCGAAAGAATTATCTTGCTCATGCAATTACTACATTCTCCTTGGGTTTAATATTGCAGAACAATGGAGAAAGAACTCAACTTTTTTAGAAACTCCTTTCGTCAAATAAAATTCTCCCTAAATCTTTCATTCTCGTTAGTCTTCCAGATTAAAATGTTGCAAATTAGAGAAAGTAGCTCATTTCTAACAGTTTTTCTATCGTGGAGACATGTTTTTATTTGGATAGAATTTAGGTCTATGATATGATGTTATAATCTTCGAATGTGCTCAACATAATCCTATTTCAATATGTGGTGGGTACCCAGACCACATGCTGGGCATATGTATATAAGGGACATCACGGTATATGCGGGACCAGTAGCTGTAGAACTGTTACACCATAGCAGAACAAATCTTGTCTTCCCCGGCAGGTTTTTCTCTTCATGGAGTCTCAATAAAGCTGCTGTTTACGAATTATGATCCAAGGGATCCTGCACATAACTTCGTATACACGAAAGTCTATCCTGACATTCCCCGGGGGAGCATTCAACTGTTTGATGTTGATATTGGGATATCTCTTCCGGTGAAATCTCAGAAGGAACTGTTTAGTCAGCATGACATAATGTTCCTTGCTGGGGAGGACCATTGAGTTGAGTGACATCTCAGATGGCACTGTTGAGTCAGCATGACATTATGTTCCCTCACTGGGAGGACCGTTATTTCCTCGTGTAGGTGATCTGCTACAATCAGTAGCGAAGCATTTTAGCAGCTTTGTTTATTTCTCTACCGGGTATCAGAAGACCACACAGGAGCTGCATAATTGACCACTGTCTAACCAATTGTTTTGTAGTTAGATAAAAACGTTTGTCCATATTCCAAGTACTGCTGGTTAGCGATTTGAGGAGACATACAGGCTATCAAAGGTAACCCCTCTAAAAATTGGGTGGTTCTCAGCCGGTGAACTACCTTCGTCCAGGTATTGCTAAAAACATTACTGGTAATAATTTCAGGTTAATTACTTGCACACCATGTGGGGAGTAGAAGTTAAACAGTAGGGGGATATGACACCGCCCTGTGGTACTCCTTGTTTCACTCTATAGGTCTCTTGTCTCTAAACCCCAACGAACGGATGACGACCACAATCTATCTCTTCAAGTTGTTGATCATGTTGGATTTCAGAAAGTCCTGAAAGAGTGTGGAGTGTGACTGACTGTTTAGAAAGCTTTCGAAAAGTTTAGTGCCACTGAGAGTGTCCTTTCACAATGCCTGTGCTGATTAAAGCTCCGTGAGATCTAAGTAGTTGGCGGTAGCCCTTGCCCCGGTTATTGGAGAGGTCCCTTCGCGGGAAGAGAATATTGGTTCAAGGACTGATACACGGTAAAGTCTATAATTCGGGATAAAATCGGTGTTGCGGTCTTACCCATCCGTAATCTAGAGTGAGTGTGTCGGATGAATGAGAATTGGGCTGGGTTGAATGGTAATAGATGTATGGTATCTAATACAAGTGGTACCATTGTATTTTCCTTCTTTGTGAAAGGCCGGAAATGGGCATAAGCAAAAAGTTTCCTCTCTACAACAATACTACAGTTACTAGAGGCTTACATTAACATGATCTTTGTAGACTTGGAGTAGGTAAGATGGTTTCAAAATCATACATGATCATCTATTTCGTCTTTGGAAATGGCACAATAATATTGATCATTTTAAAAATATTGGTCATCTGGACTACATTGTTAATATATTAAATTACCAACACTGGTGGTGGTGAAGAGTATAAAAAAGCTTAAATTTTAAAATAATGGTAAATTAGCAATATTGGTTAAATTGAAAAGTACCTTATTAGCAATTATTTCGGAAATATATTTGTTTTCATTTGTAAAGATTTGCCCAACCTCATTATTTTAGCAAAAGCACGACAACACTTCTCAGAATCAACCATGCAGATCGTACATCACTCACTTCACACCGGAGTTTATTAAAGCTTTCTGTTTAAGTTGTAATTTCATTTTTTTTCCATTATTATTTATTTTTTCGAAAATAATAAAAAAACAAAATATAGTTTTGTTGCAATCTCTTTGCACGTCGTACCAAGCCAAAAAAACTAAACAATCAGCCAGGGAGGCAGCCAACCAACCAACCCAACAGCCAGTATGTCTGTCAGTCAACTAGTTGCTAGTTGTTTAGTTGTAATTTTAAGTTCAGGCGATAAACTACATAGTGACTAACGGAAAAACGAGTGTTTTAAACTTAACTGAATGAAGAAGAGGCAAGGTTAACAAAAAGTACTCTACTTCTCTTGCAGTTCGCGGTTTAAACCTTTGCTTTCAAATAAATGATCATAAGCTGAATCATAGTAAACGAAGAGTAAATTTCAATTCGTTACACAATTACCCAAAATTGAAATAATTAAAAAAACGTCATTATTTTGTTAACAACAAAAATAAAACAAATCTATAAGATACAAAATATGAAAAAGCATGTCGTGTTGTTGTCCATCCTCTAAGATACTCTGAGATACAAATAACGTATGAAATTAAAAAAAACCTTTAAACCAGCTAAATAATTTTCGTATTAAATCTATTCGTTCGTGTTAAAGTGTGTTGTTGTTTTTTTGTATCTTGTGGCTGTATATTTATAATTAAAAAAAAGTTTTGTTTTTTTAATATATGGTCGTAAAAATAAGCTTATATGCCAAATAGACCGACCAAACTAAATAATATTTCTGCAATCGCTATTGGCCATGGCCACTGAAGATACATTTGATGATTTTGACGAATCTTTAAAATTCCATGCGCGAACGCGTCGTCATTATAAGAAGGATTCTAGATTTGTATTCGATTTATATACACTGTGCTACGATGAAAACGAAAGTGTTGATACAGTGGAACTATTCACATCGATTGTCAACAATACGGCGGGCAATTGGAAAGAAGAGGTATCTAAAAATATACTTAAACATACTTTCATTAATGTAAACCTAATTTATTAACAGTGTCAGAAAAAAACTATTAAAAATTAGCAACTGGTATGATCGACATGACTCAAAGTGTACTGTTTAAAACTTTTAAGTTCAAACAACCTTAATCTGTTTTAGTTTCGAAGATTAAGGCAATTTTATTTATAAAAACAAAACTGAAAGTAACTAAACTAAAACAAAAACTTGTTTTTATTTAAAAATAAGAAAATAATTTATGTATATGAATGAAGTATTTAAAATTTATACACACAACACTCATTTAACTTAATTTTGCATTAAAAGCCGTATTATCATGACTACGTCACTACGACCTTGATGCAAAATGTACATTTTTCAAAAGGGTTAATGTTCTGTTAATATTTCCATGTCATAATATGTAAAACATTAACGAAATGCTCTAGAGGGTAGCAGTGTTTCCCAATTACATATATATTTTAAAATTGTTTTAATTTTTCAAATTTAAAATTTAGTATGAGTCAGAGACGACTTGTGCAAAACATGTATTTGTTTACTTTAGAACTCAGTGATTCTCAAATATTTTAGGTATACCCTACACTGTATACTAGAGGTACTTTTTCTGATTCGATCAAATCTTATGTTCTGGAGAAGATTGTCTCTTCTACGAAGTATGTTAGATATTATTTCATTTATTACCACGGATCAGAATTTACCTCAGCTCCTAGATATTTATTGAAAATAATCTGACTCTCTGAAAGGTACTTTATATGAGCGCTTGGTTCAAATATGGACCTATAAACATAAAATTAGTTGAATTGATTTGAATTGATTTGAAGTCTATAGTCGGCTAAACTGCTGGACTGATTTTCTTGAAATTTTTACACTGTCTTCCTGTATGTCTGGAACGAACTAGGCTACTTTTTATTTCGAAATTTTAAGTGGGCGAGGTGCCACGGCTACATCCAAAATATTAGTTAAAAGAACATATGAATTAAACACAACAATTCGTTTATCTGGGAAACTATTAGGGCTTTTTACACGAAGTACTTTAACATATAAACAATTGGCGGGAAAAATGAACGGAATAGTATTAGTACGTATAGGGAAACCATAGAATCAGGCTGTACGGAATACAAGGTGACATCGCTAGCCCAGCTGATTATTGTTTAAAATTTTTTATACATAGGCTTGTATACAGGCTTAAACCGCACGTTTGTCAAACTCTGCTCTGAAATGCTGGTACCTTGCTAAGTATACCGTGCATAGAATCTTTAAAAATCGTAGAATGGGTATGTTATTTATAATGTTTTTAGGATAGGATAACATTTTGGACATTCATGCCTAATAACTGGTAAAAGAAGATCTCTAATAGCTAACCTCTGGTGCCACTATACGGGTACTTTGTAATGTCTAGTTAAGTCTATGTACGCCGTCACTTCATGGATCGTACATGCACACTTGTGGGACCAAAATATGGAAAAAGAAAATCGAAAACAACTACAACTTAAGAAGGATCATACTTATCTTTACGTGTCCACTCATGGGACCAAAATATAGAACAAGAAAATCAAATAACAACAACAACGAAAGAAGGTTCATCATCCGAAGACGACCTTCTGGCCTCTAGGCAAGAGACCTTTCTCACTAAGATAGATAGTGTGAGCAACTGTCTTAGCAATCCATTACCCTCAAAACCATTGTCAAAAACACCAAAAGAAAAACGACAATAAAGGCAGAGCCAAATAAACATTTAAGCGAGATATGCCAAAGCAAAGTTCATTCTGGACAATATTGTCAAGGATGCTGCAAATGTTAACCCCATGAATGCGATGAGGAAAATCGCGTTAAGTATGAAGCTGTTTTAGATGAGTAGCAGAAGTTTATTGAAACCGTACCCAGCACAATTAGGCAGTAGCTGCGTATGAAAGGTCCAAGCGTAACCGATCTCAGACCGAGACAGGTGAACCGTTTAAGTAGAGAAAGGTTAAAAATAGCAAAACCAGCGACTGTTAAGCACTCCACTAACTTCAAAACCATTGTCAAAAACATCTTTCTTATCTGAAGCCAAATCTGGCGATCAATTGAGGAAAAAACGACAAACAAGGAAGAGTCAAAAAGACATCCTTAAAGCGAGATATGCCAAGGCAAAGAATGCTGCTAATGGCACACTGTTTTAGACGAGTAGCAGAAGTTTATGGCCGTACCCAGCACATCCAAGGCAGCAGCTGCAGATGAAAGGTCCAAGCGGAACCAATCTCAGAACGAGGCTGGTGAACCGTTTAAGACAAAGAATGTTGAAAATAGCAAAACCACTCAAGGGCATCCACAGCCACATTAGAAGTTGATTCGAGAGAAAATCGTATTTTTGACCCACCCTATTGAACATGTCTATGTCTGCGCTCTTGTCGAGCGTAGTTAGGACTTTAGTAAATAAAAGCAATTTCGAATAACACACGCGATTGAAGGTATCTTGTGTGTTATTAATATAATCGACACTTTGTCGCAGCGTCTTTTATCGTAGTCTAATTTTGAAAGATGGTTTTGTTCCTAGTTCTTAAAAGATCCTTTAATTTTTTGCCACGCTTTTCTTTTAATTGATTTAGTTGATTGATGTTACTTGCAATTAATACCAAATTAAATCAATTGAAAATATCATAATAATCTCTCTATAATATGAATCACACATATTTTTCTATCCACATGTGTAGATACAAGTACTTGCAATGATTTAAAATATTCAAACCATTTGTTATCGCTGTTGTATTTATTTGATCATTATTATCGATATTTCTTTTATTTTTATAAAAAAAAACAGGAACAAGTACTTAGAGATTAATACATATTTGCCGATTTTTACCTAGATATTCAATAACATCTTTTGTTACACGAACAAAATAAAATCCCAACCCTAAAATAATAAATACAGTTTAACACATGACACCATACGCACACACATATGTATATGCAGGCACAAATCATTCACGGAGGACTTGCCCACATTCTATAGATACCAGTGTATGCATTCATATTTAAAAAACTTCTTGGAATATGTTTAAATTGCGGGAGGTAGAACAAAAAGTAGTAACTTCTTATATACACACAGACAGTTGGTTTCTACTCTACTTCTTAAGAAATATTTATTATTAACAATCGAATAGAGTAAGAATAAGGAAAAAACTGAAAACATCTGTTCTATACTGGTTTCTTTAATCTTATTAATAAACAGGGATGAAGGGTACTAAAATGTATCAACAATATTGATAAAGGTACTTTTTTGTCATTAATTGTACCAGTTAATCGTAGCTACGGTGGAATGCACTCAGATTCGCAGAAACACGTTTACCGGAGTCTCTGATGAAAATCGAACCCATGACCTCCGGACAGACAGACAATAAGAACTAAAATTTTAGGGCATAATATAAGAAAATATTATCACCTACCTTCCGGCGGATCATTTGAAATTGAATTGTGTCGCAGTATTATTAGTGGAACTATCTATATAATCTATTCTTTAAGGTTAGGTTGCTGAATACCCAGGTGCTTAACTATTTTAACCTTTGCTTGTCCTAGGAGAAAGTCAATCGTAACTACATAGACTTCCAAACGACAGTCAGAAAGCTAGTCCAAAGGAGTCAATACATCACTTAAGTTTTTTAAGTGTTTACTATCTATATTATTTAAGGACAATTTCAGGTAACGACTATCCTCACTCACAAAGATCACATTGTTATCAAAAGACGAATTAGGTCCAAACATTGCTGTTAAAATCCTCTCTCTATACTTTTAAAGGATTCACATCTGTGAGGGAATCGATTGCAGACTTATAGACATGTAAATGATGTTGCAGGAGAATCGTTACAACTCCCGCTCTTTCGTTGACGAGAAACTCTTGGTACTTTCTCCAATCTATCTAATGGCTGATGAAGTTGCTCTTAACTCTGCAGTTAGACTAAATATCGTCGGTGCATGGATTAGATGAATTTCGGATCATCAACAAATACTGCGAATTTACTTTCGGGATAGACCCGAAAGTTAAATGTAAATATTGATCATGGTACTTACCTCACATACATACATACATAAGTATGTGTATAAGTATGCAGGCAGAGAACTCTCTGCCGATACCTGTACTCAAAGTACTTTTTTAAAATGTATCAAAATACATTTGTACCGCTATTTTCATCCCTGTTTAGGAATGTACCCACACACACACAGATTGAAACCCCCTGAAACTAATCAGGGTTGAATAGAGAAGTTTTTAATTGTTGTTGTTTTTAAATGCATATTAAACCGTTGTAAATGTTTACAATACATACATACATATGTATTGTTGTTGCTCTCAATGATCTACGCAATGTAAGGAAGAATTTGTAAAATGTTTGTGATGCCTTTTTTGAAATGAAATCAGTATTAAACAGTTAGTAGGATCTGTAACAACTCAGTTGCGCTAGTTTTTTAGGTTAAAGTTTGTTAGTTTTTATTTTTCGCAAATAATAATAAAAGAAACAAAATGTTTGAAAAAATTGTATTTGAAGTGAGAACCAAGTTCTTGGCAAAATTTAATCGTAAATCATACAAATACAGATCATGCGCCCTAAATGATCTTGATTTTGTTGATGGCATGTTTCCGCGTGTGTACAGTCAGAATAAATTCTCGAACATTGAATTGACTTTATTTACAAAGGATGTATCGTGCATAGAACCGGAGTTTCTAATAAATATTGTTGATAAGTTTCTAAGAGTAACCGATCCCAGTGTAGAGGATAATAAAAGATATAGTGTAAGAAATTAGTGAAGAAATAACATTTTATTAAAATCTTAAATTTTATATATAGTATTAGGGAAACAATTTGTATGTAAAGTGGTTTTAATTGAGTTTATTGTAATATTATAGAGACGCAGTGATCGTGAGGAAATTCGACGACGTTTGGCCATGGGTGCTGAGGAGAATTGCAATGAACAGCAACAGCATACACAACCAGAACGTAACTTATGGAAACCCAGTATACAATCACGCTTGCAAAGTGGTAAATTAAAATAACAATCAGTATTTCAGTCAAAACATTTCAAACGGTTTTTCCTCATTTTTAGATTTTACTCGGATTACAGAAATATCATCTGATACCGAAAGTCATAGTTCCGATTCGGAAACATGTCCGAAACTATCCAAATCTAAATCACAAGTTGGCGTATTTCCATTTAATGGCAGCCAAATATCAATAACCGATAATCAACAATTGCATCCATATCATGGACGACCCCTTTCAGTCAGCTGTTCGAATGCCTCAAATTTGAACAATAACAATACAACAACAAAAACACTAACCACACAACAGCAACAATTGCAACAACAACTAAGCGAAACATTTAGCAATGAAGACAGAGAATGTGATTTCTTTACAAAACAAGCTAAACTACAGATTGAGGCCCGTATGGCTTTGTCACAGGCCAAAGAAATGGCCCACATGCAAATGGAGGTAAGAACCAAAACAGTAAATTAATGGTTAATAAAAGTATTTAAACAATATTTTGTTTGCTATTTAATTAACAGATTGAGCGTCAAAATCAACGAGTCTCTCCCATAACAGCCATAATACGTGATTCTTTAGATAAAGTTGGTGTACAAATAAAACCGGACAAACGTCGTTTATCGCGACAATTATTAACCGATATGAATATAGCACAATTACAGATTTTAGTCAATAATCTTCATACACGCATTGAAGAGTTAAACGAATCACTTGTTAATTATCTAATGGAACGTGATGATTTACATGACAGTCAAGATACCATGCTCGTAGATATTGAGGAACTCACTCGTTATATGTAAGTATATTTTTGGTTTTTTTTTTTATTTAAAAGATATGAAACGAAGTGTTAAACTATTTCAATATTTATCTATATTTGTTTATTTATGGTCCGATTTCGATCAACTATTCAGAAAGTTGTATAAATCTAATTTAGAAAAATTGAGTTTCGTTCTGTAAAAAATTGAATAGTCGGAGTTGACTACTTTGTCCTAACAGAAAAAAGGGATAAAGATATAGTATCTGAAGCATTGTTGCCAATTTAGCGTTTTAGTAAGCGGTTAGCGGAAAATTTGGAGATTTTTAACCAGGGTTTGGGGATTTCTGGCGTTTTTGCCCAACTTTGTAATAAACGTTGAATATTTTTCTAGTCTATAGTGTAGTCTATAGACTAGTCTATAGTGTAGTCTCTAGTCTAGTTTATAGCCTAGTCTATATTCTAGTCTATAGTCGAGTCGATTTATAGTTTCGTCTTTAATGTAGTATATGGTCTAGACTATTTTTAAGTAGTTTAGTCTGTAGTCTAGTCTATAGCCTACTATATATTATAAATCTGGCGATTTCTAGCGGGTTTTGACATGGTGAAGAAATATTGGCAACACTGATCGGGAGACTTTATTCAATAGTCGCTATCTCTCATTTTCATTAAAATGAGAAATTAAACACAAATTCATCAAAATAAATATATTTTTTTATCCTAAAAACTTAATTAATTACGATAGAGACCGTTGAATACAATCCCTCAATATATGTAGTTTGCCTAACATATATTATTTATAATTTTATAATAATGCATTTTTATCTTCTATTTAATAAATTTCAGAGGAGCAAAAGAACATATCGCCCAGCAAGAGCGGATATCATCATCTGTAAACAAATGTTCAAAGTAGATTATTATAGATTCACACACAAAAATCCTTGGAAAACAAACAAATATTTATTCAAAAAGCAAATGAGAAAACAAAAGAGAAACCAAAAAAAACAAAATGGCAATGTTTATTAATTTATAATTTATTTACAATATTATTAATTAACACTAACTATTATGAGTATTTACATACATACAACAACAAAGGAATAAAAATAAATCTAAAAAAGTAAAACTATTTGAAAAATTTAACACTTGCATAAAACATAAATACAAAATAATAAAACAAATTAAAAATTACATACATATACGAGTACTATTACATATATACATACCACTACACAGTTATAAACACTTACATAACATACATACATATATTATATAATACATAACATAAATACTTATATTAATATATATATATATATTTATGATAATTATGAATTATACCCCCCACTACTATTTCAAAAATAATAATAATAATTAATAGAGTGTTCTAAACTGCATCTCTCTTAAATAAAATTTAAAACGAGTTAAATTTCAAATTAACAAAAATTCATAGCTTTGTTTGTTATTTGAGTTCTTTAAGAATTGGGTAAGTAAGACACTAAATTGTTTGGAAGTTTAAATCTACCGGCAGTCAGATTCTTGAGACGAAACCATATCTGGTAATTTTTTTTTGCTATATATTGTATAAAACTTAGTTTATTTCCAAAAAATCTTTCCTGAAATTTCTAAAAATAAGAAGTTGAAAAGATTTAGAGTTGGTATAGGTTCCGATCCTAAAAAATTATACGGCTTGATATGTTTTATGAGAAGAAAGTTATATATTAAAGAGGCATTAATCCCAAAATGTAGACAACTTCAACAACAATCTCTGGAATGTAGACAACTTGTTTCAAAGGGAGCTGTATTTTGGCCAGTAGTAGCGCTAGTCCGAACACCTTATGTATTATGATAATCCTCATACCTTACGAGAAGGCTTACCATTATTTTGCTAGCGATATTAAACTCATCAAGATGTTTGATGCTGTTTTTCCGATCCTGCGGGCTTCATCACATTATCTGACATACAGAGGGATCCTGATTTATTGACTGAGTATTTCGGACTACTAGGTGCTGTGCTAGTGGTGTGGTTACGCGGGCTTTAAAAGGATAAGGAATGCTCTGGAATGTGTCATTAGTTGATGGGGATTATATTTTAAATAATACAATCTTTCATGACATCTAAAGGGTGGTCACCTTCCCTTATACCGGAAGATTGATTTCACCTGATGTTGGAGTTGTCTCCCCTTCTATTGACTTTAGACTAGTGATTGCTTTTTCATTGTCGGGCTTTGTATCGGTATTGATCCCGCGCTGACTGTCATTCCGTAACGGGACTACTATGGCAAGAGATTAGATAGCTCGAGAACTTTAGCAAAGTGCTTGTACATGGACCACACAGCCATGTACAAAAATTGCCACCTGAGACCGTCCCAAGTCTACCCTGTGGTTGAAAAAGACCACCGTGTAATCTTACTATTTATCACCAGTTAATAATACGGTATTAACCTGCTATTATATGATCTATGAGCTCAATGCTTCAGGCCAGTCTGTAAATAATGTTAGACGTATCTCTTCTTGACACCTGCATGTATTAAACATACATATGATAACTATATCGACATTAAGATACCATCATACAAAGAAGTAGTCTAATCGGGACGGTAGGCGGACTATATGCTATCTGCATCAAGGTCTCACAAGCAAAGATTTACTATATCTTAATTGCCATCAATCCCAGGCAATTCCGAAGACAATTTGTCGCAGTTCTGCCTGCATGATGGATGAATGTCGAAGTGCTTTACGTGAACACCTGCCACTAGCTGAGCTTCTTACACGCCGGTGGCAATTTAAGTATACGGATGTCCGGTCCAGTACACTTCGCTCAAGTACTCGAGCTATCTAATCTCTTCCCGTTGGGGAATAACAGGTGTCATGAGACAAGCTCAAGTTTATGCATCATTTTAAAGCATTACAGATACAGGTTCAAAAATGCGATAATTTAAGGCTCCGATATGGTTGCAAATAACTTTTATAGTTTTCATGTTATAACAGTCGTTTATACATCTTTTTATTGCATTATAGTTGCCATTTGCTTTGGTATATAATTTATTCCATAATATATTTTAAGAAAATTGCCAATTGGATAGATCGGTAGAATTATTTTCACAGCTTTAAAAACGCGGTAGTTTGAGGTTCCGATATGGTTGCAAATAACATTGACAGTTTTCATGCTATGACAGTAATATATGCATCATTTTAAAGCATTATGATTGCACTTTAATATGGTATATAATTTGTTGCATAATGTGTGTTTTTACAAATTGGTCAATTTGATAGATCGGTAGAATTATTGTTCTATGTTTAATAAACGCTGTAATCTAAGGTACCGATATGGTTGCAATTAACCTTGGCAGTTTTCGTGCTAGGACAGTCATTTATGCACCATTTTAAAGCATTAAAATTGCCATTTGGTATATAATTTATTGCGTAATGTATTTTTAGAAAATGGCCAATTGGATAGATCGGTAGAATTATTTTCCCAGGTTTAAAAAGGCGGTAATTTGAGGTTCCAATTGGTTGCGAATAACTTTGACAGTTTTCATGCTATGACAATCAATTATGCATCATTTTAATGCATTACGATTGTACTTTGACTTGGTATATCATTTGTGGCAAAATGTGTTCTTCTAAAAAATTGTAAATTTGATGGATCGGTAGAATTGTTGTTCTATGTTTAAAAACGCTGTGATTTGAGGTTCCGATATTGTTGCAAATAACTTTGATAGTTTTCATGCCAGGACAATCGTTTATGCATCATTTTAAAACATTTCAGTTGCACTTTGTTTTGGTGTATAATTTGTGGCATAATGAATTTTTACAAAAATTGGATAGATAGGTATATCTATTGGTACAGGTTTAGAAATGCGGTAATTTAAGGCTCCGATATGGTTGCAAATATCTTTTATAGTTTTCATGTTATAGCAGTCGTTTATATATCTTTTTATTGCGTTATAGTTGCCATTTGTTTTGGTATATAATTTATTGCATAATATATTTTTAGAAAATGGCGAATTGGATAGATCGGTAGAATTATTTTCACAGGTTTAAAAACGCGGTAATTTGAGGTTCCGATATGGTTGTGAATAACTTTGACAGTTTTCATGCTATGACAGTCATTTATGCATCATTTTAAAGCATTATGATTGCACTTTAATTTGGTATATCATTTGTGGCATAATGTGTTCGTCTAAAAAATGGTCAATTTGAAGGATCGGTAGAATTATTGTTCTGTGTTTGAAAACGCGGTAATTTGAGGTTCCGATATAGTTGCAAATAACTTTGACAGTTTTCATGCTAGGACAATAGTTTATGCATCATTTTAAAGCATTACAGTTGCACTTTATTTTGGTGTATAATGTGGCATAATGAATTTTTACAAAAAGTGGATAGATCGGTATATTTATTGGTACAGGTTTAAAAATGCGGCAATTCAAGGCCCCGATATGGTTGCAAATAACTTTTATAGTTTTCATGTTATAACAGTCGTTTATATATCCTTTTATTGCATTATAGTTGCCATTTGTTTTGGTATATAATTTATTGCATAATATATTTTTAGAAAATGGCCAATTGGATAGATCGGTAGAATTATTTTCACAGCTTTAAAAAGGCGGTAATTTGAGGTTCCGATATGGTTGTGAATAACTTTGACAGTTTTCATGCTATGACAGTCATTTATGCATCATTTTAAAGCATTATGATTGCACTTTAATTTGGTATATCATTTGTGGCATAATGTGTTCGTCTAAAAAATGGTCAATTTGATGGATCGGTAGAATTATTGTTCTATGTTTAAAAACGCGGTAATTTGAGGTTCCGATATGGTGGCAAATAACTTTGACAGTTTTCATGCTAGGGTAATAGTTTATGCATCATTTTAAAGCATTACAGTTGCACTTTATTTTGGTGTATAATTTGTGGCATAATGAATTTTTACAAAAATTTAATAGATCGGTATATTTATTGGTACAGATTCAAAAATGCGGTAATTTAAAGCTCCGATATGGTTGCAAATAACTTTTATAGTTTCCATGTTATAACAGTCGTTTATATATCTTTTTATTGCATTATAGTTGCCATTTGCTTTGGTATATAATTTATTCCATAATACATTTTTAGAAAATGGCCAATTGGATAGATCGGTAGAATTATTTTCACAGCTTTAAAAAGGCGGTAATTTGAGGTTCCGATATGGTTGTGAATAACTTTGACAGTTTTCATGCTATGACAGTCATTTATGCATCATTTTAAAGCATTATGATTGCACTTTAATTTGGTATATCATTTGTGGCATAATGTGTTCGTCTAAAAAATGGTCAATTTGATGGATCGGTAGAATTATTGTTCTATGTTTAAAAACGCGGTAATTTGAGGTTCCGATATGGTGGCAAATAACTTTGACAGTTTTCATGCTAGGGCAATAGTTTATGCATCATTTTAAAGCATTGCAGTTGCACTTTATTTTGGCGTATAATTTGTGGCATAATGAATTTTTACAAAAATTGGATAGATCAGTATATTTATTGGTACAGGTGTAAAAATGCTTTAATTCAAGGCTTCGATATGGTTGCAAATAACTTTTATAGTTTTCATGTTATAACAGTCGTTTATATATATTTTTATTGCATTATAGTTGCCATTTGTTTTGGTATATAATTTATTGCATAATATATTTTTAGAAAATGGCCAATTGGATAGATCGGTAGAATTATTTTCACAGCTTTAAAAAGGCGGTAATTTGAGGTTCCGATATGGTTGCAAATAACATTGACAGTTTTCATGCTATGACAGTCATTTATGCATCATTTTAAAGCATTATGATTGCACTTTAATATGGTATATAATTTGTAGCATAATGTGTGTTTTTACTAATTGGTCAATTTGATAGATCGGTAGAATTGTTGTTCTATGTTTAATAAACGCTGTAATCTGAGGTTCCGATATGGTTACAATTAACTTTGGCAGTTTTCGTGCTAGGACAGTCGTTTATGCACCATTTT